TGTATGTCTGGGCAGACGCCCTGTGGGGCCTGAATAACTGCGTCACAAGACGATTAAATGCTGCTGGTACATTTGACAGCCCTTGGGACATCACCAACCACTCCCAGAGCATGCTGCTAGTAGTGCTTACGGCTGGCAGCGGAATATCACTCGCTCTCATGAGCAATTGGTAAGACCCATCAACCAAGTCAAGTGCACTGTACTTCGTACATCCCACCATGTTGTTCTGAAGAACATCTTTTCTAGGATCGGTGTCTGTGCCGGAATAGTGGCAGCGTTGAGCTTATTCTAAGCATGAACGATACGCCACTTGCGTTCGGCTTCCGAACACAAAAGGTGGGTGTCGAATGGAGACTTGCTCTCACGTACCATCCCTGCGTCGTGCTTCGCACGGAAAAAGGCGTTAATGACGTCGCACTGCTTCTTGGGCAGAGGACATTGGCGTGTTATACCCAGACAGCAATGGCTGACAGCACAACGCAGTATTTGGTTCCCGGAACCAGGTCGATGTCATGACGCACATCTCGGTCCGGAAGTAGGACTGAAGGCGGGTCTTTGGAGACGACGTCTTGAAATCCCTTTTTAAAGGATAGTACGGATCCAAGGGATTCCGTAGAATTGATGATCCACTTCGTGCGTTCCAGCACTCTCTTGGTCCCCCCCAAGACAGCTTCATCCAGAAGCGGTGACAATTTTATCTCCTCGTCCGGTCGTACAATGACCACTTCGGCCAGATCGCCTGCTTTCAAGACACTGCCGGGCTCTTCAAGAGATATCTCGTCCAGCTCATGAAGAGCATCTGATGTAGGCATAGCCTCGAGGCAGACGTCGCCATCTTCCTCCTCCGTCATACCGGTGACGAGGGTGTATAACTGTGCGCCATCGTCTACGATAGACACATCCTAGATCAGGGTCGACGGCCGGCGTCTTGCAGCCAAAATAAGGAGTCGCCATCACCTCTGTACAGAGGTTCTATGTCTCGGTGAGACCAGATTAATCACGCACTCCGCGTCGTCCGGTGTCACCCTCACTGTCCGCTCCTTTAAAGCTCTGATGTTATCCACACCATCTGACGAAGAGCTGCTAAGCCCGCAGTCTTTGTCCAGTGGATAACGTGCCACTCCACGCGCATCTGAAGGGCCGTGCCCAAGATGTCTCGGACTCTGGCCGACCCGTCATCAATGGCATGCAGCGACTGCTTCGCAACGAGAGCAGTGCTCAGTGGTTTTCGTGCCACTACACGTGCATCACGGGGACCTCGCCCTCGATGCCTCGGCCCTTGGCCGACCATGTCACGAATGACACGTCGCGACTGCTCCGAAACTTGAGCATCGCTCAGTGGGTTACGTGCCAATCTACGATCAGCCCGCGAGTCACGCTTGGGACTCCTGTCCAAAACACCGTTAGTGTCTACCAACTCGGACATTCCAATGTCCAGCACGTTGACCGTCTCGGTCCAGTGCTCTCGCCAATAGCGCTATTGTCTCCTGGCAGAGGTGGGTTCATGACTCACCAAAGCTCCACCAGGATACGTGCGCGTAGC